TTAAGGGATGACAATATGTGTGTTTTGATTGAATAATCAACGTAAAATTGCTTTTGAGGTCCATTGCAGCTAGTTCTGACAAATTTCGCTTTTTCATTGTTATTCCATGTCTTTCGATCGAAATTCCACTACTGTACCCCTGGTTAGGTTGTGCTCATTACAATTTACTGATTTGGTTTTGAATTGATCATTATTTGTGTATTTATCACTCAAAATCTGCTTGAACGACCTGAGGCGAGCGCGCCCGCAAAATCGCCGCGGTCCCACGTGGCCAAAAAAGCCAAAACTCGCATTGTCGTCAATGTGTTAAAGAAATATCAACTGTGGACCGCCATAATCAAGAGCAATTTGGATAGCCATTCACAACCGCCTGCATGGCGAGGTTTTCAAATTGGATTGCCTTCGCAGATGGTCGAATTTCGCCGGGTTTTTGAACAGAGGCGATCAGATTGCGGAGATTTTTGAACGCAGCCCTTCAGGTTTCGTACGATGGCTGGTGTTGCGTGAAGGTTGTTTGCAGCCAAATTCAAAATCCCTTGTGGTGCTAACATGCAAGAAATCGCTAGGCTCACGTTCGCAATTTAATTCATTACTCAACCACCGTATCTGATTCAAATATTCTCCACTTTCTAATCGCATTCTCATTTAACATACTATCTATGCAATCTGGTTCGTAAACTCTCTTAAGGCTTAATAATTATCAAGTATCATTAATTACTGATTATTATTAATTTATAATTGAAGTTCAAAAATCCGATTTTCCTACTTAAACTTAAGTTAGAATCTAGTTATTTGAGATTCACCACTGTTTTCCATCTTCAGCAATTGTAATTGATCCATCATTTCTCGCCTGTGTGTTGTATTCTTTCCCAACGTTTGCCTTACGCAACGTAATAAATAAATAAATAAATAAATAAATAAATAGATGAATAAATAACAAATAAAGAAATTGATGCCTCCTTGATTTTTGGAGTAATCATTGTTATAACTATCCAATATGATGTTCAGTCCAAACAAAATCAGTTGTACTTTTTTTTAATCAACTAAATTTTGGTCTGACTCCTGAGCAATCGTAATAAATGCTCGCTGTGCTCGTGCGGCTCGGAACATGAGCCATTGACCACAAATGGCTCGACGTGGTCGTTGATGTTTCTCATTTGAAAATGAAAAGCGTCACGCTAGCAGCTTTGGTCTTTGGTCATTGGTGATCACAGAAGTCGTTCCGCGGCGCTCGATTCGTTGTCGGGTAGCAATCGGGACGAGGTGTTGTTGTTTAGTGAAGTTGTGTTTCTTGGCTCGCTTAGCACCGCAGCTGCGCGTGCAACCATATAATCGCTAAACGAGAGATCCCCGAACGTTTCGAGGGATCGCCGTGAGGGGGAATTCACCCCGAAACCTACTTCGAAGTCTACAGGAGATCCGCTCTGTGAAAACCAGATAAGTGGACTCCTCGTGCCCATTTTCGAACGATTTCATAAACAGGTTCTGTCTGAAAAAAAAGGAACGCTCCCGAACACCTCGTGACGGACTGTCGCTTGAGCTCAGGAACAAAGCCAGTACTTTCTATACATTTGGTACAAACTCAATCATCCTTCCTATCGTGGGAAGCAGTAAGAGACGACACGGGCGAGCCGAACTTCTCGCTGACGCCGTTATTCCATTAGATCGTAGTAATGAAGTGAGGAAATGATTGGCTGAGAATATCTACGGCCCTGACTCTCTCAGTCACTTCCCATAGTGGAGGTTTCTAATGACCCTCGCAAAGCTGCCCGAAATCTTTTTCTGGTTCGTCACCATTCGCATTGGTTCGACGTCCATTGCGGCCATAATCGTGCTTTAATTGCAGTAACATGCACCTACTCTAATCGAAGGATGGAAATCTGGGAACCATTGAACGCTTGGATAGAAAGTCCTTTGGGAGAAACGACCCAGGGATCACATACCATCACTGCCATGATGTCCTCACTTCTCGGGTGACCACGCCATCCTTGCAGGACGCGTCTGTGCCATTCATTTTGATTACTCGCCATTTGTGCCATGCTCCCAATAATTTCTTAGAACGATCACTCCACTTGGCTGGGGGTCTTTGGTCTTCCCTGTGGTCTGTTTACTCCGCGAGGATACCAATCGGTCACTTCGCGAACGTGTATCGCTAGTCGTTCCGCGCTAAACGAGCTATTTAATTTACTGCCGACTTGCCGCTCACGTCCACCTCTCCCAAATAGGGAACCCGCAGAAGGGTTTCAAGGTAGTCACAACTTAAAACAGAGTCCAGCACAGTTCATTAGATGTTTCCATGCAGGATAAAACAACAGCACAAGAAATAATGCCTCAGCGACTTCTCCTTCATTTTTCATTTTTTTTCTGATCAGTAGTACTCACTGGTATAAATGAAGTCTAACCAGAATGTATTGAAAAACTAACTATTCAATAGCTTTCACACTGCTCTCAGCTATAGCAGCTTCATTGTCGTGGCTCGTGATTTGTTTATTGTTTTGACAATTTGGCGATGGAGCGCTGAACGTTTCGAGCATCATTTCTTCCGCTGTTTAAATTGAGGAGCTTTCTAACTAGGCTTATCAAACCTTTGTGGAAGCTCATCGTGATTGGCCTCTACCGCATTGTATCTGTACCTATTGCCGTCAGTACGTTAGAAGTGGTGAATTTCTTGTCACTGGCAGAGGCATCCCTTCCAGCCGAAAACTCCATGTTAATTACTTGCAAGCATTATAACAATTAAGGAGCTTACAGGTTTAAAGTAGATAAAGTGGCTACTTTAAAACATTCAATACATGCAAAGGTGAAGGCTCAAAAGGGGCGAAAACGATTACCACGCAATTTGTCCACCCCCCCCCCACAGCCCCCTCGCCCACCACCTCTCCTGTGCCGGGTGGCTCTGAGGCAGGCCCAATTCCGGAAAACTCACAAGGGAAACACTGTTGGCGCTCTGATGGGAACTCCTTCCACTTACAACGGAATCAGCGGACAGAGCGTCTTCTGATTTCCACCTGCTTAGATCGCTGCAGCGCTGCTCGGGTCCGCATGATTTCTAAAAGTTGAAGGGGCGCAAAAATGAATTAATTATTCTGAAACCAAAATGGTAACATCGTAGCGCGGTCGCTAATTTGGCATTAACATGAAAAAACGGTTGAAGGAAATTGTGGCAGACAGTTTGATAAAACAACTTGGGTCGTTTTTTACAATAAGTATATTTTTAAGTATAAGTATATTACAATATTATAATAACATAATCATATTATAATAAGTATAGTATTGAGCGCGAAAAATAACTATAAAATGAAGTGAACTCCAAAGAATGCTCCAAAAAAGACTCTCCATTAATCTCGGCATGATAACACAGTTTTAGTTGCTTCTGTTCGAGCCGAAAAGATGGGATTAGGGATGAAGAAAATAGTAGAGAACAGTTTGGTTGATTTGCTTGTATGAATTTTTCACCATAAGCCAAACCTCGGCTTTTCTAAAGAGTTAAGAAGGCGATTGCACCGAAAAGTAAGCCGAAATAAAGTTCATACCAATCTCGGAAGCTCGAACAGAAGCGACTAAAGCTCTGAACTTTTGAAGAAAAATCGCAAACCACCGAGGAGCATATCATAGGCCAATGTTCAAGAGGGGTTGAGATGATTTACAGCAATTTCAGGTTTCTCCGACGGGGATTGCGTCCTTCTGTACCGCCCTGCATTCTTCACCCACTATTTCGGTGGATGGCCGCGAACATAGCGCTCTGATCATTTCTTTAGTGCCTATACTAACACCCATGAAATCTATCCTGATGCAATTTTTAAATATCTATAATATCATTTTCTACAGGCGCATAGGGTCTATTTCTACTGTTCAGGAGGGGGAGACCGTCCAATCTGCTGGACTTTGATGCATTCCGGCAGCAAAAACTGCAAGTAGAGTGAAGGAGTACTATGCCTGACGAAGCCATGTGATGGACTGCTGCTTTTCGAAGGTTGTTTTCCGTCAACAGGGTTTTCCCCAATGTGTGCAAAGTCCACGAATGACATGGCCGAGAGTATTCCGGGGCACGCTGAGTTATTAATAGACACACAGACCAGTGTTTTTCATAACACTTTCTAATCGATAAGATCTTGGATCTTTTAAAGGTGGCCAGGGGTAAAAAAGTCCTCTGAGCCGTTTGGAAATCAAATTTCGACTGGACTTTGACTCGATAGAGATACAGTTGGGCAAAAGGTTTTCGTGCTTATTATTTTGTCAGAAAGAATCAATGATGGCCTCGAATTTTTTTTTGAATATCCTGATTCTTTGAGACTTGAGGATAAAAAACTAGAAAACATAGTATATCAATCTTTGGAGGCGTTGCTCAAGCGAGAAAAAATAATGCACTGAAAATCGTTTCGGCGAACACTTTTGACCGCTACTGTAGCTTTATGAAAACATAGATTGCTGCTGCGATACGGGGTCGTACACAGGTAAGGGCCCTGGGAATCAGTTGTTGTTTTGCGCAATGTTTACATCGGCGCCACGCAGATATCGGGAAGCAGTTGGTTGTTCTGTGCAGCCAATTCGAGAATGTAGTCTGAGCCATCCAATTTTAGGCTGTAAAACCCGTTGAGTGGCACGCTGACGTTATTTATAGGAGGCCTAGGCTTTGGCTGCATGCCTAGGCTTTCACTGCGTGCCTAGGCTTTCATTGCTTACTATCACGTGGTGCCGAATCGAAGCGTGCGACAGCAGAAAACAAAATACGGTAAGGGGACAGAGATCAGCCCGAGCGCCCAGCGGCCGCGTAAACAATCCGCCCCTCGAGCACGCCTATAAAAGCCTCGGCACGCAGCAAGAGACAGCATGCAAACTCCTGCTGGAGCTCTGCAATCCTCACACCTCTCTGATGCTCATGAGCATTACTTGTGCATTTCACTTCTTCCTCTCGCATTTGTAAATAACGAGAAGTTTCATACTACTGATGCTTGGATAATTTCAGAAATCAAATCACCCACCCTACAAACGCTTACAAAATGAGTCACGATGTAAGTTTCCACCTCACTAAATATTTTATTCAGTTAGAACAAGGTGCTAGAATTATTTCTCAACATTTGCTTTTCAGGGAGTTTTGGCTGATGCTGGACACAAGGCCCAGGAATTGAAGGATATTACTGCTGAGAAGCTTTGCGACGCCGGAACTGCAGTGAAGGATACGCTGGCTTCTGGATACGAGAAGGTTAAGGATACCGTTGCGTCCGGATACGATAAGGTAATTTCACCCAGCGGCGGGAGGTTTTCCAGAAATTTCAATCTTGTTGCTTTAGGTTGCTGGTTACACGAAAGAAACGTATGATAGCGCCGGACAAAAGGTTGAAGAGAACAAGGATGCCGCTGCAGATAAGGTGAGTAAAGAACACTTAAAGAGTTGAACTTAAAGGGATGGGACTTCAAATTGACCGCTTAGGAGTCAGTTGGTTGTAACGATTTAATCATGTTTTTTTTTCAGGCTAACGACGCCCGAGACTATGTTGGCAAAAAGATGCATGAGGGCGCCAACAAGCTGCAATCTTAAGCAGTCTCTGGATCCTGTTATGTACAGTGTTGTAATTAACGAGTTATTTATGTGTAGAGTTTAAGTTACTCTTGTATGAGTCGGTCTTCTTCCTATGGAAGTGACATGAAGACTACAAATAGCTCGAATAACTTTCGACTCTCTCTTTTGCACTGTCATTGTGTTGTGAAATGCTTAGAAATAAAAGAATTTCAAACAATCTATCGAGTTTATGCATCCTGACAACCTTAAATAACCTTAAATAAGGACCTGGCGAAAATCTACCACAGCTTATTCAATGAGGTCAAAACTGTTCAACTGTTCAAAACTGTCTCAGAGGTAGTCAGCCTGAGGAAATGGAGGAATACCATATGTATACAAAGGCGGATCAAAGGTTAGAGTACGCTAAGTTCCGTGCCCAGATCCACAGGAAGACGAATTTGAACTGCAAAGCAAGCGTAACATTTCATTTGGCCAAGGGAGACTTCCGGTTCCATGTAAAT